GATTGAATATCTGAGGCTCCCGTTAGGTGGCAAATATAAGGATGTCACAACTTGGGAGACTTGTGATGGCGATGTTCGTATTGTGGTTGGTTGGATGAAAGAGGAACTTTTTGTCTAATGGGGGAGACTTACACTTACCAGAAGCACTATGACAAACGATCTCATTATTAGGTGTACTTATTGATAGTTGTCATGTAGCCAAAAGATTGGAATAAATTCAATAAAGATTTCTCTAGGGAAGAAATTAAGGAAAGAAGAAATATCATCCTCTTGGCTTGGGATGAGGTCAAAAAGCCTATTCATTAAGGTGAATGTTAGGATACGAAGGGTGAAATGGAAATGACAAAAGGGGTAAATTAGTTTTTTGCATGTATCAATTAGGGTTAGGGTTAAGGTTAAGGTTAAGGTTAAGGTTTTGAATGCACTTCCACAGCAGTTGTCGCTGCATTAAGAGCGACCATTGATTACGACCATAATAGTAGTTACTTTAATTGCTTATAACCTTTAAAAGACTCAATTTTTATGTTGTAATCATCAAGAAAATAAGTAAAATAACTATATATGATTTTCTTCTCTATTTCTCCTCTCCTTCCTTCTTATCTTTCTCTTTTTATTACTTCAAATCAGACTCATGTCAAAAGTGCATGACAAGGTGGTATCAGAGGCGCGTATCAAATCCAAATGGGAGGAGGTGATGGCAGGCGATGAGGGAATACTTCTTTGCCCTTTACGACGCACAAAGAAGAAAAAAGAAGAAAATGGGTTTCGGCGGTTAAAAGAAACCCCGAAACTGGTCTGATTGGTTTAGGGTAATAGCTTAATCGAACTAAACCGGTTCGGACCAACTGGTTCCGTCTGGTCTTCTTCTTCCTTCTCTCTTGGTTCTTCTTCTTCTTTCTCTCTCTGTTCTTATGCTTCCCTTATTCTCTTATCTTCTCTCTCTATGTTGGTTCTTCTCTCTCCCAATATATCTCTCTCTATGTATATTTCTCCCTCTTTCTCTCTAACAGTTCTTCTTCTCTCTATCTCGGTTCTCTCTCTTTGTTCTCCTCTCTCTATTTCGGTTCTCTCTCTCTTTGTTCTCCTCTCTCTATCTCGATCTCTCTCTCTCTCTCTCTCTCTATGTCCTCTCTCTCTGTTCTTCTCTATCCCAATATCTCCCTACAAGTCTCCCTTTCTCTCTCTACTTTTCTATCTCTAAACTCTCTCTATATATTTCCCTCTCTTTTCTCTCTCTAAAGGCCTCTCTCTCTATAATCTCCTTCTCTCTCCTCGACTCCCTCTTCCCTCACTTCCAGGATCTTCTTTTCTTCCCTAATATTAAACTCTACCTCACTATTCAATTAATTACAAATTCTGCCCCACTATTTCCTTAATTATCAGTTGTGCCCCACTATTTTCTTAATTTCCAATTCTATCCTCACTATTTTCTTAAAATTCAAGTTCTACCCCAATGTTTTCTCAAATTCAAATCTTGTCTCAACTTAATTTCAAAATTGCCCTAATATTTTAAAGTTACCCTCATTTCTTAATTTTTACCATAAATATCACAAAGTAACTTTGACCACATTAAGGCTCAGGTGACTTACATGTCAAAGCTGCGTTCTAACAAGAGTATCTCAAAACAGAAGTATAAGATACCCAAGTTACAGCCTTTTAATAGACAGCACTAAGAGGACATATAGCTGAAGAATGTGCCTGGAAAGATTATGAATATCTACATCAACAGTTTCCACATCTCTACCTTGAGGATAAGGTTGATGCTCAAGGGAAGGGTATTGTCAGGATACAAAGGGTGAAAAAGGAAATGACAAAAGGGGTAAATTAGTTTTTTGCATGTATCAATTAGGGTTAGAGTTAAAGTTAAGATTTTGAATGCACTTCCACAGTAGTTACTGCTGCATTAAGAATGGACACTGATTACGGTTGTAATAGTCGTTACTTTAATTGCTTATAGTCTATAAAAGACTCAATCTTTATGCTGTAATCATCAAGAAAATAAATAAAATAACTATCTCAGATTTTCGTCTCTAGTTCTCCTCTCCTTCCTTCTTCTCCTTCTCTTCTTTTTATTTCTTCATATCAGACCCATGTCAAAGGTCTCAGACAGTAAAGCTGGATTTGAGATATGTGATGGAGGTTAATATTGCTCTTTAGGGGAAATGGCTTTGTACATTTATGAATGAAACTGATAGTCTCTCGTGAATGTTGATAGAGGTGAAATTTGGTATGTGAACAGAGGCTGGTACATTAGGCTCTTGTCTAAATCCCATGGTAATGAGATGTGGAAGAAAATCGATATAGGTAGGACTAATTTCCAGGACTGTTAGCTGGAGAGTTTGCACTGGGGACAGGATCAGCTTATAGCATGACACCTGGTTGGAGGGTGGCACGCACAGAGACCAGTTCTCCTGGATCTATATTATTGCTTGGTATAAGAACAAAGTTTTTACTTCTACCCCCGGACTGTATGAGCTGTAGATTCAATTCTATTTACTTCTACCCCCAGATCTGCTGTTTTTTTCTTCTAGCGAGGATGACCACGCACAAAGTTCGACCAATTTGTTTTCTGTGTAGTTCCAAGATTGTGCTTTTAGATACTTCTGACACTTAAGACTCAAGGTTGAGTTTTCTTCAATGAGGGAAGAATGACGCGCAATAGATTTTGATTAGGGATTGTATTTCTAGCCAACCTACAATTTATTGTAATAATATTAATAATATTAGTGCTTCAGTATTTGGGTTTTGTTTATAATTTACATCGTTTCAAGCTTTAGTTTTTCTACCACAATTTTATGGTTATAGTTAGATTACCTTTAGTATTCAAGTACTATAAATAGAATTGAATCTCAAGTCATGGGTAACAAATTATTTCTGAGAATATTCTTATTATTTCTGATTGTGTGATATGCTCAAATCTTAGGTAATGCTTAAGAGTTTCTTTTTTATGTTTGATATATAATAAAACCTATTTGTGATATTTAGGTTTGCCCGGAATCTCTTAATTAAGCCAATTAATCATAAATTCTATCCCCAAAAAATTCGTAACTTGTCCTCCATAATTGGAATCGTGGAAATAGAGTTTAGGAAAAAGGAGGCAAACGCTTTTGAGATGAACGTTTTAAGATTCAACTGATTAAAGAGCATATCGGATACATGCAGTAAAACCAGTGTAATATTTGTTGATGATGGATTATTGAAGTTTATTGTTACAATTTTCTCTCGGACAAAGATGGTCTTTAGTAGAAGATTCCTCAGATCATTTATTTTACTGTTAGTGACTAGTGTTAAAGGTTGACCTTCATGTGCTATGTGTGAAATGATCAGGAACCTTGTTGAATGTTGTTATTCCTCGCCCAAATCCAAATGGAGAGCAGATGCCAGGTGTTGGAAAGGTAATTTCTTCTTCTATATTATACTCGGCTTGGCTCCTTTTCCTCTCCAAAAACGTTAAGATTATGCTTTAGGCTTTTTAGCTGTTGAGTTTAATATTATTTCCAGCCCAAGATTCTTTAAAATTTCTTATATTACTCTTTTGTTGTGGTGGTGCATTTTTGTCTATAAAAATCTCAGGGTATTCCTACCTTATTTCCTGTCAATTGGTTACTAGAATCTTTTTTTTGCAAAGTCTTTTTGGTTATGCATCATAAATTGGAAGGAGTCCAGTCTATTGAGCCAAAGTGAAAAAATTCTTCCACGCAACAGTAATGGAGTCTCTTAGTTACTAATATCCTCTCTTCCTTTTTGCTTCTAAAATTGGCAAGGTGTCTGGGAGTCTCCAAGCAGGGGTGGCTTCTCATTGTAGTAAATTGGGCAATTTAACCTGTTTGATTGATGTGAACACACACACACACACACACACACACACACACACACACACACACACGTATATTACAAGGAAATTTACATGAGGATCCGTGAAGGTTTGGTTTACTTACAACTTGCTCTTCTATGTCTTAAAATAACCAATTAGTTCTTTCATTTTTTTATTTTTGCAAAGATTTTGACAAAAAAGACCTCCAATAATTTTGACCTCATAATAGTTTGGCTTATTTTGACTTTCATTGATAATTATTTTTCTTTTCTACTCTATTGAATCCCTTGCTATAGTGGTTTATCTCTGCTCCTGTCACTGGGATTCTAGGCAATAAACCGTGCATATGTTTCATGATTTTGGTTGATTATGTTACCTAGAAGTACTTTCTTTCCGGGCAGAATGCCCTTGTTTGATTCTTTGTTTTCTTTTTTTTTTTTTTCAAATATTTATCCAAATTTGTTTTCACGAGTGGCAAAACCAATTTTCACAGGTTATCTTTGATTCTTTGTTTTCTTTTTTTTTTTTTTCAAATATTTATCCAAATTTGTTTTCACGAGTGGCAAAACCAATTTTTCACAGGTTATCATGCATTATGCATTGGGGTGGCTGATGGTATCCCATCTCATGGTTTATACTTTGCAGGTGTTCTTGGAATACTCGGATACGAGTGCTTGTGCAAACGCAAGGAATTTGCTAAGTGGGAGGAAATTTGGAGGGAATGTTGTGATTGCAGTTTATTACCCGGAAGACAAGTATTACAGCAGAGATTATAGTGCATAGGGGGGATTAAACTTGTATTTTGTGTTACTTTTAATTCACAATGTACAGTAGTCTTCTGCTAGTGATCTGAAGACTAAGATACGAGTTGTGAATGTTGTGATATTTTGCTTGTTTGGTAATCAATTTATAAATATACATTTTCCTATATCATCAATGTACCATTTCTGTTAACTGCCATATTCACCTTTGTAAGCCCGGACACATACAGCTGCATGGACATACAACCAAACACGCAGCCATGTCATGCACACGTGTGTATCTATTAATCCGCGTACACTTGTATACCAAATTATTGGCACGCTGGTTTATATCATTTTGTATAATATTGTTTTAAGTCTGTAGTTATTTTATTTTATTTGTGAGTATACAGCAGAAGTGGAAGTGGAGAATCCCAGACTCAATGGACAAATGAAAGTGGAGTAACTGTTTGATCCAAACGGCAAGTGTAATTTGTAGTTTGACACATATGCCTATAAATACGTGAAAATCTATTGTTAAATTAATTAAAATTTGAAAAATTAAAAAAAAAAAATATAACTCAAAGAAATTACTAAATTTTATATAAAAATGAGAAGTTAATACATTTATACTAAAAAAAAAAAAAGAAAAACTTAAAAAAGTAATAAAATGGAGATTATAAAGTAATAAATTGACGTTATAATTAGTTTGGATGGGAAAAATTAATTTTACTTAATGTGGTGATTAAAAAATTACTTTTTATGGGAAAGTAGTGGGCCCTTGTGTAAATATTAATTTTGCCAGACAAAAAGAGTATTCAGCATTTATTATTATGGTGATTCAGAATTCTTTTAGATTTAATTAATTAATTAATTAATTAATTTAATCATTTCAATAATTCAAGAATAGACAATAAATTAATAATTAATCCATTGAGAGAGAGAGAGGGGGTAATATGTCCGTTAGAAGACAGCAAATCAGATCACCCGACAAGAAATGAAATGCTGACTCGGATCATTCTCACTCCACCAAACCAGACATAAAATAATTTCTGGTTCTGGATAACTCTCTGCGACCATTTCCTCTCGTTCCCACTTTTTACTTTATTTACCCTTTTCCAAAATTTAAAAATTACAGATAAAAAAAAAGAAGAAAGAAATAAAAATCCTGCCTTTCAAAGATAGATTGCTTATAACTCACTCCAAACCCCCTTGATAATCGGCCGTGGTTAGTTTATCCATAAATTGAAGGGTGACTTTGAAAAAAGAAGGGAAGGAAACAACTTGAGCATTGACTTTATTGGTGAGCTTTTACGTGGCATCTACGATCGAAATATGCGTTTTAGATAATACTGCCGTCGTGTCAAATCTCTCTTTTCTCCTCTATAAATACTTACTACCATTTTCTTCTTTTCTTCATCGTTCATTCTCTCTCTCGTTGGTATCTGTTTGTTTGGCAAGAAAAGGGTTTGTTTGTTTTCCAGAAAAGAAGGAAAAGATGTTGGCTGTATTCAACAAAGGGTTGGTAAATCCACCCGAGGAGCTACGCAGTCCGGCCTCATTGGGTTCATCCAAGAAACCTAAACTTCCCCAAGAAATCCTCAATGATTTCTCTTCTTCTCATCCGACAAATGCTTTCTCTGTTTGCTTTGGAGATGCAGCTTTGCTCGCTTACTCTCCTTCTCAAAATTCCCATTCCAAATCTCAAAGGTAAGTACTTTTCTCCTTCTCCCACATAATCTTCAAGGGCTTAATCGATTGGATAAAATTTATTAATACCCAGGAAAAGGAAATAAATCTATATCATGTAATTATGATTTGACAGAGATGTAATCAGATTTATGGTTGATGGAAAATATGGCAGGTTGTTCTGTGGGTATAATGACGTGCATTGTATCTTCTTGGGGAGCTTGAACAATTTATGCAGCCTGAACAAGCAGTACGGTTTGTCGAAAGGCGGCGATGAGGCCGTGTTTGCCATTGAAGCATACAGGACCCTTCGTGACCGTGGTCCGTATCCTGCTCACCAGGTCCTCAAGGATCTTGACGGTGACTTTGGATTTGTGATCTATGATGCCAAGGCTCAAAATGTCTTTGTTGCACTGGCAAGTTCATTTCCCAAACACGCTATCTATACATACATATGCATAAAATACTGTGATGTATATTGAGTAATGGTTTGATGTAATGCAGGGTGCAAATGAAAGGGTGAGGCTTTATTGGGGAATTGCAGGTGATGGGTCTGCTGTGATATCTGACAACTTGGCAGCCATTAAAGAAAGCTGTGCAAAATCCTTTGCACCATTTCCAACTGGTGTGTGAAAAGATGTTTGTGGGTAGAATTTTGAAGTGGGAAATTGTAGTAGAAAATTAATTGCATTTTGTTTTTGCAGGGTGTATGTTCCATAGCGAAGAAGGGTTGATGAGCTTTGAGCATCCAAGGAGGAAGATGAAGGCAATGCCCAGGATTGACAGTGAAGGGGTGATGTGTGGAGCTAATTTCAAGGTTGATGTTCAGTCCAAAATTACCAACATGCCACGCGTCGGCAGCGAAGCTAATTGGGCATTGGGAAGCTAGCTTTGCTTATTGTAATGTTCATGTATTCTCTGGTTTTTCTTTTTCGAATTTTATTTAAAATGTTGTATTTGGTTAAAGTTGGAAACAAGTACTTTTTAGCTTTTTAATCTTCTGGGTTTCTGGTTGATTTGTAAAATATTTGTTTTGTAAATAAGGAGGAATCAAGTAACGAAGAGCACTTCATTTTTCTGTCTCTTTCTTCTCTCGGTGAAAGCAGTTTGTGGTTTGATTTTGACATTTGGTGCAATCCGAACTAAAAAACCAAATAAATTCAGTTTGAACTTGGTTGGGAAAATTGATTGAAGTTTGGATTAAAATTATAGACTTTTTATCTTAATGAGTGAGGTGCAAATTTAAAAATATTATCATTCATTTCTAGTCACATATATTAATATCATTTTTGGTTGAGCGAAATGATTGAATTTTGGTTTGAGTAAGATACAAATTTAGAAATATTATCATTCGTTTCTAGTCATGTAATACACTCTTTTGTTTTTTGCTTGTATTTTTTTCATGTATTTATATATTATATGGATACATATAATATTGTTTTGAATATATTTCCAATAAATCTGCTCAAGTTTGGTAAGAATCAGCTTTTCTTATAGGATATAACTAAATTAAAACTTTAAACCCGAGCTCGATCTAGCTTTCTCTTTTAAGAGTTTTGAACGAAAAATGAAAAGCTCTTTCCATGAGCTATATACACCATTAAGTAGTTCATTTTAGTCAATTTATCAAGATTTTAATATCAAACTCCAATTTTAATCCAACTCTGATAATTTCAACCCTAATTGCTATCATAATAAAAGTTGCCTAAAATCCTTTCAGGAGGACAAATTGTTAGCCTTCAGCATGCTAAAAATAAATCTTTCTTTAAATATGTTCTATCTAAACATACACTTAAAAAGTATTCAAAGAAAGGGGTCACATCCTTTCCTTTTACTTTTTTTCCTGGGTCACATGATTCTAGTTGCCAATTGTCCTCAGGAAATATCAGGCCAACAGACCAAACAAATAAGGTTTTAGTAGGTTAACATGACTTTCTCAAAACCCAAAGTATGAAAAAGTTATTTCCGAAGTCTTAAGTTTTCCTCATCCTTGAAGTAACTAAACATGAAACAACAAAATACATTTGAGTTAAGGGTCCATCTACTCCTTAATCTTAAATAATGGAATTGGTAAGAACCAAAGGTTGTAAAAGTCCTCAATGCTTGGAGGCCAGTCACTAACAGATGTCTGGCAATATGAGGTTTGGTGATTTCTACCTCCAGCCCTGCTCAATCTGATTGATGCACGATCTGTATATATATATATATATATATACACACACATGTACATGCCATGACACTGCCTGCTCTGTTAACCAGATGATTTTCCAAAAGAATATGGAGCAATGGCACCTAGCTGAATGAAACTTGCAAAATCAATCCAAATCTACAAAAATCTGCAACATAGTAGAAAATAACTAATCAGAATTATAGTCCAATAAGAATGCGAATGACAGTACACAGTACAAGAGCAAGACAAGATATTGAGTTCTAGAACATGGTTTTGCTATCAAATATCCAAGGCATTCCTCACACCCCTGAATTATGTATGGCAAACACATATATACGTATCCGTGCATGTTCTAGACATTGTTACATGTAGTTCTCAATACTATAATAACATTGGAAACTAATTTCTAAGAATTCTGATAAATATAGACCCTAGATCAAGCTCCAAATTTGGTTTACATGTATAATTATTTGAGAAATCAAGCGTGCTCGAGTTTTCAAATTCCAGATATATTGCATCTCTGCAAATCTGGTAGGTATGATCAAGACAAAACCAGATTTCAGGAATCTGTCCTAGCACATTCAAGGAGCTAGTTCTCTCCTAAAAAGATCCTACTAGCATGGATAGCCAACCTCTATATCAGGCAATGGTTCATAAGTTTTCTTCTCTCTTGTGTCGAATGCTGTAATGCCTGTGATTTTCTGAACTCCAAGTTTAGTAGCAATCAGGTTCTGAATAAGCAAACATGGATCAAGAAATTGTTACTGAAACAGTCAATTATTCAGAAATATCCGTAGAATGAGATACTTACTATCACTCATTTTAAACAAAATAAATCTTAACATCAAGATAACAGTAAATCTACAAGGCAGTGATCCTGAATCTTCAACAACTTATAGAAAAAATTGGGTAAAGTAAGATCAGATGACAGAGTATGAAGCTTCTTTGTTTACAAATAGTCCCATTCCATGCTCAAATTATTTTCCAAAAAATTTTATGGACAAAATCTTAATTATCAGGTGCAAGTCAGAAGAGCTGTTCATACCAGGTGAAAATCTGTGGTACCAAATGCCTCCACTAGCGGTAATGTCTGTCAAATATGTCAAGATGTGCCATCAGAAATAATTATTTCAATGAAAAATATATATATGAAAAATATATATGAGAAAGTGAGTACAGAAGAAAGAAAGGTCATTCGTGATGGTGTCAAACTTCCAAAGATCACCACCCAATAATACTAATTCATGCAGTGATGCTTGCATTTGCATGCGAATGTGTGCATTTGTTTATATGCATACACTGTGATATCATTTCTTCTGCCGATATATTATTGAGAGTTGAGACACTATCGTTTGCCCAAGACATAGTGTCAACTAAACCAAAAGTAGGGTAGCAAAGATCATAACTGAGAATCAATCAAATGCATTACCACAGTCTGGAGACCATTAATCATAACAGCTTTCTCTGTGCTTGACTCATTTTGGGATAAATGAACCTCAAAGGGACCCAATTTCCTATCAGTCTGGTTTGCCAGATTCAGGCGAACCTGCCGAAATAGGTGATGGGTCACTTAAAATCAAATGAATAGGGCAAATAAGTAAGAAAATTACTATGTCCACTGAAAAACACTTCAATAATTACCGGAAAAGATCTATTAAGAATGATGATAGGTGGAACCTCAACAATGTGCAACTCAACATCCTTGCGTGTGATAGGCTGCAGAAAAAACGTTGTCAGACACTCAGTATGGTACTTACTTTTGTACTATAGTGAAGTACACAAAACATGAGTGTTTGTAGATAAATGTGGATGTGCATGTAAAGGCCCCAGTGTAATAGACCAGTTGCAACTTGCAACTTTATAGAACTTCCACAGTATGCTTCTTCAGGGGAAGAACATCTATGGTATGTTATGTGAAGTCATAAGGGAATAAAGGATTCTAAAGAAAAGCACCAAGCTCATGCATAGATGTAGAAAAAATTCTCAAATGAACTGCTATTTTGTTCTCATGAAAATTCCTGGCTCATAACGTGAACTCATATGTGAAAAACTACATTGCACGCTAATTCCAGTGCTTAGTATTAAATATTTCAAACACACGCAAGTGCACAAACATGCACATCCACCAGAATATTCATTATGAAGAGCAAGATGCCCAAAAGCTATACTGGAGGAACAACTGAGAGAGCGAAGATAACACACAGCTACTTTTTTATTTTTATACTTGTTAATGAGAAAAACATAATTTCATAATATCCTGCTACTTTATGAAAACCCGAAATTAAATGGAGCAAACACACAGTGATCATTTTCATTTCAAAAAATGATAACTGAAATTAAAAGGGACAAAGCAGCTAAAACTTAGAACAGAAGACAAATAGCATTAAAGATAAAGAAATACAATAACCATCTTTTCAAATGAAAGATATGGCTACATCACAGAATAATGCTGCTTCTCTCAAAGTTAAAGGCATCAAACTTACAGTGCCAAGAATTTGTTGTGTCTGTAAACGACCAGGCTCCCCCAAATTCGTACGCCATGTTATCTGAAGTTTGCCTAGAATATTACTTGCTTGAGCCTTCACTTGTCCAGGACCATTTGAGGGCAATTTCAACTGATAAAGGTAGTTATGAATTCCTCCACCAGATCGAATGAGAACTGGTGGCTTAAATACCTCTCTGCCAGCATATGGAAATTAAAGAGGAAGAAATGCGTGATGAGAAAGGTTTTATGAGGGAACAAAGAAATAGAGATATGACAAGCAGATATAGTCTGACCAAGGAATCACAATTAGTTGTTTCAAGAATATCAGATGATATATATGTTACCTTGTTAAAGAATCATTCTTGGATAGGTGTTCATCAGCTTTTAGTATAGTGACACTCCAATGCGGAGCTGGTTCAAACTCAACTTGATCCATATAAAGGTTGGATTTTGTATGGTTCTCAATGCAAGCCTCTAAAAATGTAGTTTCCTGAGATAAAATTTGTAGTAATTATTTGAATAGTGAATTGATACACAAAAACCAATTTGGCTCATAAACATGGCATTCAATGATTCAAATAAAAGTCAAGTTAGAAATTAGCATTCAAATTTGAGAAGAAATCATATTCCAGGGCTATATGGGTATGTTAAAGATGAAAAATATCCCTCCAGTAACCTGCCCAGATTTACTCTCTGTACAACAAGGAGACAGCATAATGAGCATGATTAATTATATTTAAAGCAACAAGATGTTACGTTCCTAGTGAAATTATAGACAGATAACAGATACCTTTCATGGTCCACTGCTGTACAAAACCAATAACAAACACAGGATGGAAATGACACCCTCCAATCTCCATTAATACATTTAATGGATCTAGTCATATAGTAACACATTAATCTCCAAATCCACCTATGTGTTATGCATCAATTCGAAAAGAAAAAAAGAGCCAAAAAGGAAACTCAACTAAAAAATGCTAAAACAATTACCAAAACCAAGAGTAGTTAACTTGGTGGCACTGATGCTTATTGTTATCTTTCTTTTATTGGGTCAATAAATTTTCCTAGGATTTGAAAATGAACACATTACGTTTTCATTGAAACTTCGAACAAAGAACAGCTTGCATAAGCAGACAGTTGTTTGAACTTACACTTAATAGAACTCAACCCAAACCTACCTTTACTACGCGAACCTGCATGGAAGAAATCAACAAGATAGTTAATGCCTGACGAACGTAAAACATTTAATTCATTTTCTTCAAATTGACTTCACTAGTATACTACAAATTGTGTATGGCCAATGCTTGGAACACAAGGAATCTTAATTGCACCTTTGTTCTAACTGAAAGTGGATTTGCCACTGAAAACTTGAAGAATTGCGGAAGATATTTACGCTCCCCATCACCATCATTGTACAATGCAGTGCACACTAGCCTAAATTAACACAAGCATAGAGTAAGGAAATCAGCATAAACAAGAAAATGTTAAAAAGCCCACCTAATAAAGCTCCATGAATCACACAAAACTTACGTGTGAGCTCCAAGTTCCTTCACATCATGTTCCACAATGAAATCATAACGCCCTCCAGCCCGTATAGATTCAACGGGCGACTTTGATGTATCAAGAAGGAGTATCCTCTGCCTCTCCGTCTGGATTTCTGCCTAGAAAATTCCGTTTACTCATTATATTTCATAAATTTTTCAACTCACGACAAAGAATCAGTAGAAAAGAAATCTAAAAAGTATAATATACAAGAACAAGAAAATACGATTAACAAAAAAAAGAAAAACCAAACCTAAAACTAAATTATAATATTATTTGGAGTTGATGGAGTTACTGACCTTGATGATAACGTCTCTAACTTCAAAACTAGAGCTGTTATTGATGCTAATGTAGCTGCAAAATGTCTCTCCCAGATAAATAGCCCTGTTGATCGAAATAAACAAAAATGTAAATGCTCTTCCAGAAAACAGAGGTTTGTATCTGTATATAGAGAAAGGGATATAGAGAAATAGAGCGAGACCCGAAAGATTGAGGGAGGAGGAGGAGGGAAGAGAGGCCGAGGGCATCGGAGGGGTGGCGGAGGAGAAATCTGGAGCGGTAGCTGAGATCGGAGGAGTAGTCGGAAGAGGAGATAAGTGGTTGCAGAAGAGGAGGGAGGAGGGAGGAAGCGACGGGGTCGTCGAAGATATCTTCACCGACGAGAAGATCTGCGGGGTCGAGGAGGAGAGGCGGGTCGACATGGAAGGATGGCTTGCAGAGTCTCATCACCCTGAAGGCTAGTGAGTGCGGCCCCTGTGTCGCGCTCATGCTTGTTCAGTCTTCAATGGCTTACCAGCACACAGAATTTGGAGAATAGAATCTGCAATTGAGATTTTGAGAGAGAAGAAGAAAGAGCTTAGGATCGACTTCCTCCAGTCACCATTTACTTTTACAGCGGCGGCCAACAGGGGCAAGACGGGAAGCTGGAAAGTTACGTTTTCTTTTTATGTAAAATTATTTTTTGCACCAAGATTCCATGAAATACATAAAAGCCCTCTTTATTTTTTTATTTTTTTAAAATACAACATAATATATATATATATATACATATATAGAAAATTTGTATGGAATAAAATTCGAAATTAAATCTAATAAAAGATAAATAATAGAAAATAAAAAAAAAATTATATGGTAAAATTGGAAACTGACTCTTTGGTTACGAGAAGATTGTAAGTGAATTATTATTATAAATTATGATGTTGGAATGTAATTGGAATTTTCTTTTTTAATATATTTGATCAAAAATGTATTTTATAAGTAATTAGTAACATTTACAATTATCAATAACAATCAAATTATGTAATATTGAATAAAAGTAACAAATTTATGAATTGTTTTTTATCCTTATACTATTTATTATCTTTTATTAGTCAAATTTTACAACATTAAGAAAAACTAAAACACAGAACTTAAAGAATTGGTAAAACCAGCCTGGAAACATAAAATTTTGAACATACATACAGAATTGCATAACCAAAAAATAATAAGAAGCTACTTGTTATAATAGAATGCTTTATTCTAGTAGCATGTCAAAGAGGAGTTTTTTGATAATGGAAGAAATTTTGGATTATATGTAGTTGGCTATTTCTATTTTGTACATGGGAGGTATTCTCTCGTCAATTATATACTCCAAAAATAAAGATTGAAGATTATAAAACACTGGGTCCTATACAATATATACTCTGGATCACTTCGGTTCATGATCAATATTGTCCAGCAACCAACTTGCTCTTAAAACAGGAGTTACAAGGGTGACCCAGATATCTAAGCCCAGTGGTGATAATTCACAGCTCTTTTAATAAGGGAGCTTGGATTCAAATATTATCTAGGGTAGTTTCAACTCAGAATCGAAAACAAAAAGGGGAGTCGGCGGGTTGTGAGACAGAATGCTCAAAGCATAGGTTAGATATCTATACAACTCTAACCCATGTTCCACCACACATGGGACAGCCATATGCCCATCGGCTTATCCACCAAACTTCCAGATCATTTTGATTAGGTTGATTGGTAGCACCTGGGGAAGCAAAAGCTGAAGTCTGCCGCAGACACCTTATGCACTACAAACACATTCAAGATAATCAGGATTACAAAGCACAAACAGAGAGAAAAAAGAAACAATAAAGTGAAACACAAGCATTTGCATTGCATTTACGGAGAATACAAGTAGAGATAAGTATACATACAGACGGGTAGATATGCAAAGGACTGGTTAAAGAAACAAAAGAGAAACCGACGCATGCAGAGCGAAAACTTGGTAATAGATTATAACAAGTTGATAACTTACGAACCATACTACTTCATTTGGATGTAGAAATTATATAGAGGAGGAAAAAAGTCTAGAATTTCATCACGGAAAATCTAGATTCATAATATTCCACTAAATATAGAAGAGTCTGAACCCAAACAATTTGATTAGGAGTTATAATTAGAGTCTTGTTTCATAATCTGCATCATTCCGCATTCCCTTCTACTTATACTGAATTTATCACAAAGTTACTCTACAATTAGTGTACCTGTAATCTGTAGGATTCAGCATATAACAGTGCTCCCGGCTGATGGTATTGATACAAGTCTAATACATTGAAAGTCTTAAAAAGACCATGTCAATGTTTATTTCGGGGGAAAAAAAAAAGTCCATGTCAATGGAAATATTGGTAACACAAACAACCTCATTAATCTTTTCTTAGAAACTTTGTGGGATTATACTTCTTTCCCTTTTAGCTTATTGTAGGAAAAATGTGTCTTCTATGTCTACCAAGTGATATGTTGTGTTCATCACTGCCTTATCAAGCATCACAGTTATTCCTTCCCGGAATGATTGAACATGTCCAGCCATGTTACTACCTGTTACATCAGATCCGGATATTTATTCAACTTGACCAAGTAGACAGCATGATTTAGACTTTGTATAAACAAAGGAGAACGGCTGATCATGAATTGCAATGTTGTAAGCAAAAGTTGTATGTGCAAATATTATACCATTATTTTGGCTTCTCTCCACAAATATATCCTATTGATATTGAATGAAGTCCAATTTATCTCCTCAGTTTGGCCTTTGTCTGTTAACAATCGGTATTACTATATTTCAAGCTCTTTTCTCAAACTGCTTCCATAAAGTAATCTGAAAGTGATATAAATATTTAGGATAACAATTTCAGTTAAAAATTTGGAATACCAAGCAAACACATAATCTCTTGATAAAACAACTTTACTATATGAGCAACATCGGAGGTTTCAATAAGAGACAATTTTCTATTTTGGGATATTGATCAACTTCTTTTGGGTGGGGAATGAAGGAAATACTGGGTCTATAAAGACCAAGTCTATATATCTTTGTATTTAGGAAGTCCCCATACAATCTGTAGATTTTTCAAGAATAGGTAAAGGCATATACCAACCTGAGTTCTTGACTTTGACCCTATGCGACCTGATAACCAGGGCACTTCTTTTATTGCAAAGAGTTTCCTGGTGTATATGATCAATTACCATTGAAGAAATAACAAAAATGATATGAAAGTCTTTCATACAGATTCATCCATTTGTAATTGTTCCTAAGTTCTCCAAAATCTTAACCTTGTAGAACTCCGTAGATTCTCAAATCCAATCACTTCGTACTAATGGTGGCCTTTTATCCTTCAACTCAACACATTCACAACTTGATCACTTGCACCAATTTATGCTTAATTGCATAACCAATTGAACTTGGAAAGATGCCCACATTGTGGGCATTTGATTGATGTGCTCATGAAACTTGAAGTACTCAAAGATTTATGGAAGAATAGGTCATAAATTCCTTTTGAATTTACGTTATTTTCCCAAATCTTTGTTTATAAATCCAATATGTTCCAAATCTGCAAGGCCAAATTACGACAGAAATTTCTTGTTCAAAGCTTGACCATTTTTATTTACCAAGTACTCAGAATAGAACTTGTCACAACAACAAGAGATTAGTTTTACGACAAAAAGATCCTCTAATGCCAACTCCACATGAAATGAACTCAAGTTTAACACTTCCAGAATTAGAGAGAGCTAAAACTAGTGTAGTAGTAAGTTCTTTGATATCAATGAATCTCCTCTCAGCTTCCTTTGCCCATTTGAAGTTTCCTTTCTTTAAACAAACTCATTATTTTTTTGGAACATCAAATAATGAATTATTTGATGTGATAATGCTGCTGGAATTCGAACAAATCTCCTATAGAAGGTGGCCAACCCATGGAAACCTTTTCTTCTATATACATCAAAATGAAAAAGTAGGCCCAGTTGTGGGAGTATGTAGGACAAGTGATGGGTGACATGTGGCAGTGCATTTGCAACTCTACACCCGTAGCTGGTATAGGGTAGAGAAAGTTAAGGATGAGAAACAAACTGGGCAGGCATGGATGAAGACATACCCACCTCATACTTGCCCCATGCCCGTCCCTAATTATTATTCCACATTGTTGTCATGCTGATCAGGTATCTATAATCAGAGATCCCTACTTTGGGTTCCTTGATAATTTTTCTAAAGTCTTTATTATGGATCAGTTGGAGGTCTTTGAACCCATGGTGGGGAAGTGTTGACCACATCATTGCATTGGCTGGTGACCAAATAGTCAATATTCTCAGGGCTAGTTTGGCTATTTTGCAATTTCTGGATTGTTCGTTTTTTAATCCTTTTTGGCTGATGAGTTTGGGATTTAGGATTTTGGGTTGTAATAATAATAATAACGTTATAAATGGATTGCGACTTCTGAGCTGTGCCTTTTCTTTCCCTCATTTGCTGGATGGGCTAGGGATTTAGGGTTTCCAGAAACGATAATAAAAATAGTAACATGACGAATCAAAGTTAGGGTTACATCCCAACTTAATTTTGCATATGGATTTGCACCTCCATGATGCCTGTATCGAATGATACATGTTATACTTAGAGACAAATAAAATAGAACCAGAAGTAGAGATCTTGGATCAGAAAAATCAAATCAAGATAATGTTGAATAATAATTATGATCTTCTACAATCAACTATGCTAGGATGCTCTATCTATAGGGACCAAATATAACCAAAATAGGAAAACCTAAGCATACCTAGGAAATCACTGACAAAGCAAATAAACTAATAATTGAAAAGCCTATAATAGAAAATAACTAACTACAGTCTAACTAAATAAGAATAATATCCATAGTAATTCATAATATAACTAAAATTCCCCAAAAAGGTAAATAGCCTTGATAACAAATAAAAGACTATAATTCCAGAAACATTTCTTAATCGTGAACTATTTCTGTTTTAGAATCTGCCTACAAGGCATCAGTTTGTGTCTGTTCCCACCAACCACAAGCATCTTGCTAAACTACAGGCAGCCAACATGACTCTTTTTACTTTCCTAAAGTCCATGATATCAATAACTCTACCTCATAGACTCAATAAAGGAAAGATTTTGACATTTACTGTTATAAAACAACCTTATGTCAGGAGTCATCGGTGCCCCTTCGTGATTTTGCCTTGGTTGTTTTCAACTACTCTAGCAAGCCTTACACCTTTGTTAATGATCAAAATAACAACCAACGTGCTAGCATCAAGAAAGATCTGTCACAGTTGTTCCAGCTTGTCATTGGTTTTTCAGCTAATTTTCATTTTCAATTGTTGACAAGAGGACCTAGATCGACATCATTAGGGTGATTGCACTCACCACCTGTAGCGTTGGGGCTCATATATCTAACCCTAGGGCTGCCTCTTAATATGGGAATATTTTCTACTTTTTACTTTTCTCCCTGTATATAAAGGGGAAACCTTAGTTGCAAAACTGAGTTTTTCAATAGTGAAAATTTTCACAGGCTCCACCAAGTGAACAACACATGGTCAAGCATGTTAAAAAAACTTTCTGCTCTTACCCCAACTCCCTCCCTCCTCGTTTCTAGATGGTTGCACTCACCT